ATGTTTTTGGGCGTCGAAACAACTTTTCGCCATACATTTCCTGCTAGCGACTTGCAATGTTTGCCCCCTGACGATCTCAGAGTTCTTTTCGCAAACACGGGTATCCGATTACTGGCAACTCATTCATTGGCCCTCTCCCCGGCCACGACCGAGCAATAGCAAAGAATAGGGCGAGTTGGCCTGTAACGTCATTGAAGGAGTAACAATGTTTTGCTCCTGAGAAGAACATATACGAACATGCGATGATGTGGGTCAAAATCGTTGCAAAATGCAAGTTAGATGTGTTGTTTGACGGAGTAGCAGTACAGCAAGCTTAGGAGAGAGCTATCCTCTTCCTTCAATACCTCTATCCCGATTGGCCCCATCTCGATGGCACTCGTCCAGAAGTGACAAAAAGACGAAAGAAGTGCACTGACTTGTGCGAACTTGGACCGAAAGAGGTAGCTTTCACGGAGCAGTTCGTCGATCTTGGGTTTGTCGCTAATGTAAAAACCTAGAAATTTTCATGGCCTGTATATTCTTACCTAGCTTCTAGTGAAGCTCGACATCATCAAGGTAGATAAGACACCAATTTGGAATCTAAATCGACTATCATTGGAGCGGCGAACGGCGAAGGTCTAACGTCAAATCGCAGTTAGACGTTTACGGTAAATTAAACGTGGATCAAAAGGTTTCTGTTTACTTACTTCGCCTGCCGCGAAACCTGTCCATTATGGAACCCAGCAATGACTTTTTCCCTGCAGAAAATCAGATGTATGCAAATCTATTACTTTTATTCAACGAATGAAAATTTTCAAATTTACTGACTGAAATGACTTTTCCTTGTTCACGAGAAAAGAAATTTACCTTTTCTGTCGTTGGATACATGAGTGTAATCTTCCGATGCAAGCATCTTCTCTTTCCTACTTTAAAAAGAACGAGAAACTAGCAAACATGTTTTTGAACATCGAGACTTCCTTTGTTTCAGGCATACATGAAAATCTTTGAATCGAAATGTCTAAGTACTGCTATCCTGTCGATCTTCGGAGACAAACTGAAATTTATAGTTTGTTTTGATCCGTTTCGACCGCCGATTTATCCTCATCCTTCACCTTTAACCTATGGACATCCAATTAGCAGAATGGTTATTGTACACCAACAGACAATTGCCAGCTAGAGACAACAGAAATCAGTGTTACAAAATATTGAACTTACTCTTTTTCACCCTTTCTCATCCTCATCTCAATCACGGACCCATGCGTGACACCGTACTCTAAAATTAACAAAAGGTGACTCAGATTTACAATATTTTAACTGGCTTAATGTGCGGTTCAAAGTCACACAGAATTAAAAAGAGCGAGCATTGTTCTGAATTGAAAACACACTTTGAATCAGAAACGCTGATGACTGATGTTATGAAGTCAAGTGACGTCATATGTCGTCGCTGTCGGTATCATTTTCTTGAAGTTGTAAGTAATTCAGCGTTGTTTCATCTTTAAACTGAACATTCTTTATGACAACGAGTTTCTATAGGAAAAAATTGTGCGATACCATATATGTTCTAACGCGCAAACATTTCTAAGAGATTTCAAGAAATAACATGAAGTTGTACCTTGCAGACTGTTGAAAGCTGAACTTTCTAGACTAGCCGTTTTGTACTAGAGATCGGACGTGACATTGCGTGACAAGCCAAACAATATAGATAAGTCGTTTTGTATTGTTTTGTAACCCGGATGTGACGTTGCACGAATTGTTGTACCCCCCTATAGGGTTGTAGAAACATGTGCTCGAAGAATAAATATGGAGTCCAAACACAGACAGCCTTGGTCCTGGTCTGGATCAAAGACTCTCTCATTCACTGCAAATACAGCTCCCTCATGCCTTGGTGCCTTTCCCATCTTTCCCTTCTTTCCTATATTTTTCATCAAATCTTTGAATGTTTCTTGGGGACTACATCTGACACTGATCGATGGTGAGCCATCCGAGAACCATACTTTAATTTCAATAAAGAGAATTTCCACTTTCAACTCCAACCTTGATCCAGTGCAAAGACCGAGGCTTGTTAAGGTTCCTTTATCTTTGGAAGGACACAGTTGCCTGCCTTTGAAATAGAGGATCGCTTCTTCGTTTTCTTGCAGATTTATGCGCGATGATATTTCTTCCATTAGCGCTTTGAGGCCCTTTTCTTTATCTACATTCATTACGATTGTTTTTCCACTCTGATTCACGAAAGTTACTTGGATACACTCTGGGACATTGACTAGTAGAGTTGGCTTTGGACTGCATATTAGCTTATGAGGAAGGCCTTTCATTGGTGTGTCTGGCAGACGGGTTTTCCCGAGGTACAGCGTTTGGTCTTTGCTAGGAACTTCGAGCCTTCTTTCTATCTGTTCCATTACATCGCGCACCTTTGCTCTACCTGGATGTACCTTTATTGAAAACATGTCCTTGGAGGATGGCTCGATTGTAATCGTCAGCTCTGTATCGATTAATCTCACACCTCCAAGAGGTAGACTCCTGATTTACATAAAAAAGCACTAAATTAATGATAGATTCCATTACAAAACCATAAAGATTGCAGCTGATTGCACAAGTCCTAAACACGACTTATTACTGTGTAACCCCGCTACACACTGAGACACCTGCTTAATAGGGTCACTGATGTATTACAGTCAGTTCTAGGTTCCATTTTATTTTATTTTTTTGTTATAAGCATCTTAGTGGTTCGGAAATCCTGAATTCTTGAATTTGATTGGCTAATAACGCCCGTCAGTCTTTTTATGATACGGAACCCGAGTTACGGATCTCTCACATCTCCTTTGTGAAAACTTTAATTTATGTTTTATAGTTCATTTTAAACTCTGTAGAGTTTGTAAAGGTAGATAAACCACAGTGCAGAAGTATGGGTCCGGCTAATGAAAGCCTAAGCAAAAAAATTGTTTGTCGTCGCTCTTGAGTTTGCATGACAATTTTTTTTTTTTTTTTTACTCTTCGTACATTTTTGCGATTTCAAAACCTAGTTTTCCCTATTTATTTTAGCAATTTTTTTAAACACGTCACTGCTAAAATGTTACTTCACAATATTGCTAAAAAATTAAAACGACGACGTTTCGACGTTTAGCTAACGTCATTATCACGTCAAAATGATTGTTCTTTAAAATTGTCAGAATGTTCTTTCAGAGAAAGAGTTTCGCACGAATGAAGTCAGCCTGAGTGTTTAAACTTTCACGTTCTTTCATGAATGGCATCTCATAAACGAGTTAGTCAAATCTGCTTTATCACTTTCGAAGTGTGCGAAACTGGCTTTCTTTAAGAACGTATATCCCCAATCGCCGAGGCCTCGTGTTCAACAATACGTTGTTGGTGTCGATCTATGTACCCAACACAATCTGCATCGCAAAGATCACTTGAAAACAAATAATTTATATGCCATGCCTTGTTGGTTTACAACTGGTTTGAAATCTTGTTCCAATTTCCTGCACAGAAATACTGGTTGTTTAGTGCCGATCTTTGAGGGATATGAGAATTATAATGCCTCTGGCAGGGAACAGCTTCACATTAATTAGATGTCATGAACATGAAGTAGCCAATGAATGCGATCACCTTTGTGACGAAATTGAGAGCTATATACTAATGTGAACAGCACCTCATCTCTCTCCTCCGTAGAGGCTCAAAGGATTTTTATCGGGCGGGGAGGATCCACTGAGTAAAGTAAGTGCAGGCACAGGGTCGCCGGCGATGGCGGAAGGCGCGGGAGCCTCTGCCAGATACCACGCTTAAGATGGTCGCCATCTGTGCACTACTCGCAGGGTGGGCTTGTGTACCTTGTGTCAGTAAAAATGGTGTGCAAGATTTTGAAGTTAAGTGATGTCGATGGTTTAGCTAAAACATACTTAAGAGTGATTTTCTGAGAGTGTCGAGAATCGGAAGACACTCACGAAAAATCGATTTTTCTTTTATATTCATTTCCATATAAGGTCAAACGCAGGTATAATGGCTGGTAACCGAGATCCAGTGAACCAATAAGAAAGCTAGAATTGCATTATCCGAGGCTGAGAATTTAATAATATATAATATCAATAATAGCCCCCACTCGGTACATCAAAATTCTAATACAGCACCGAAGTTGTACATTATACTGACTATCATGAAAATTGCCACCACGATTTTAATTTTTGCAGTCGTAACCTGTGAAAACATGTTCACGAGTTGATCTCGGTCACGTGCGTCTTTCGCGAGAGACTGAGAACTGAGATTCAAGCCCAAAAATTATACAGTCGAACCTCCCGTAAGCGCTTAAGGGAGGTGGTCGCTTACGAGAGCTTAGACCATATTGGGTCAAAATTTTACCTCATTAGCATAAGGTAACGGCAGACACATACGCCATGTTTTAATAGTTTTATTCGTGTGAAAAGACAATTTCGAGATAAAATCTGGTACTTCCAACTGAGAAATTTCCGTCTCTTGTACTACCCAGGAATGTGATAATCACTGGAAAATTTAACCCATTTACAGGCTTTATGAAATGTCTGTAGATCCTGAATTTACAGACTTGGTACTTATTCTGCTTAAAAACAGAATGTCTGTAAATTTATTTTATAAACCTTTTGTTTAGTTTTTAGTTCTGTTCATTTCAAAATGTTTGTAAAATGGTTGCAAACTGTAGCAGCTAGAATAAGAGGATGGGACTCATAATTTACAGACTTAACAAAATCTTCCAAGAATGTTTGTAAATTTACCACTTACAAAGATTTTACAGGTTACGCCTTATCATGTAAAATCTCTGTAAATTAACATACTCAGGGCACCATAAAATCTCTGTAAATTGACATACTCGGGGCACCATAAAATCTCTGTAAATTGACATACTCGGGGCACCATAAAATCTCTGTAAATTGACATACTCGGGGCACCATAGAATCTCAGCAAAATCTCTGTAAATTGACATACTCGGGCACCATAAAATCTCTATGCATTGACATACTCGGGGCGTCAAAAAGAAAACATATTTTGGCCCAGGGACTATGTAAATTCCCCTCCTTAAAATTCCGAAGCCATGTATCATCAATTAACCATAAATCTGAGTGGACCAAACTCTGGTCAGTTGAGGTGCGTCGCAAAGAACGGCGAGTGAAAAAGTAGGGGAGAAGCGCGGCGAGAGAGAGCGAAAGAGCGCCCTTGGGCAAACTTAACAAAAGGCCCTTCCGCCCACTTATAGACCGCCTAAAGGGACCCGCGGTAACATGACCGCCGGCTTGTGGTTTTTAGTTGTCAGCAGATATCGCATTTCTCATTTGCGTAAGTAACGCTCGAATGTTGACATATCCTGTCAAAATTAAACAATCAGAGGGTATACCAGATCTTGGTATACCAGAACGACCTTTTTGTTAAGTTTGCCCTCAGGCGTTCTTTGGTAACAGGTCGTTTCGCCCCACGTCCTTTTCCCCCGAACCACCTCGCCCCAACTCAAAGTCGTGTCGCTCCCAAAAAGTCGATTCGCCTCGACCAAAAGTTATTTCGCCTGAAGTTTTTTCATACGATTTCGGAAAGCAATGAATGGTTGCAGCCATAAAGAATCAATTATTCTGTTGCTATGGGAGTGAACAACACTTCTACGCGCGTAATCCAACAAATATATTTAGACTCAATGGCTCTTTGACCACGCAAATGCTTAATAAAAAGGTTTAAAAGGCGTTTCATACAATCTACAGGTAAAAGCCGTGAAAGGTTGATTAAGTTTTTCAATACAATCGGCCATCGATCGATCAACGGACTTTGTTTCTACGAGCGTAATCAAACAAATATATTTTTTCTGGTTAGTATAATTTGCACGAATTGAAAGTTTATCTCAATTTGTTCAGTAATTTCCCAAAATTTGCGAGCACCCGTAGCTAGTACGCAGCGAAATATGATTCATTTCATGAGTACTGAGATGGAAGGAAGTGCGGGCTCATTTTCCGGAACAGCGGCTAATGTAGTTGCTTTGGCCGAGGAGGGCTGGGTACTCAAGTTCGTTTTGCGGCGCTCGTTTATCGATCTGAAATTACAAGTTTCACTCTCAGAATTAAGTTACAATTCTATTGAATGAAGTCAAAGCTCTAGCTCGCTTCTTTTATGGGTAGGAGTAGCCTCAAACGGAACTTTTTTTACTACGATCTCAGATCGTACGGCTTTTTCTGCCCAGCCAACTGGCGTTTTCTTTGGCCGAGAACTGTTCGCAAATTCAGCCATGTGGCGTCAAACAGACGATGGTATAATTTTGACAGGTGCCGGCTCAATTGCGTTTGTTTATTCTTGGTCTTGACTAATCGGTACCCTTGTTATGAAAGCTAAAGCAGTACAACAAGCGTCACAATGTACTAAAAGTTTCTCAAATGAGACATTTGGTAGAGATTTGTCCTTCCTGTACCCTTTTCCCTTCATATGACCGGATATCATACAATGTGATGATACAACTGGTTATTTTGCTTACAAAACGACGTAACATAAGGAAAATGTGTTCAAAATGCGAAATGGCTAGCAGAGGAACACTACCGTGAGAAACCGTGCAATACATCGATGCTGACTCAATTCAGACAAAAATAAATTCAATTTTTTGGAGTATGTTTTTACTCATTACACCTT